CTGTATCTGCGATTGTGATGACACCAGCATTCTGGCTACTTAGTCCTGCAAAGGCCACCGCAGGAGTTTTGCCCATATTCACTTGAAAGTGGATCATTCCTATTGGGAACACGAACACATCTCCAGGATGCAAAATTTTGGCGAATAAACGGTTATTGTCTTGATTTGAAGAGACAAAACCGACATATAATGTTCCCTCAATTAGGACTAGAATCTCAGTGGCACGTGGGTGCGTGTGAGGTGGGTTTTGGCCGTATGGCGCATAATCTATGCGAACCAATGATATTCCCATAGTGTTAAGCCCTGGAATCTGATCAACATTCACTGTTGTCACGTTGGATTTGACTTTATTATCGGTGTTTCCGGCCATATTGAGGCCAGAGTAGAAGAAATCATCTGCCTTTGCTTGCTTCGGGTCCTTACAGAACTTACCATTCACGAAAACTAGACATGGAAACATTGAGTCAAAAAGCATATATATATATCAAAATCTTTGGTTTAAACTACAATAAAGGAAAAAGTAACTAGAGAATTAAAGTAACCAGATTATTTCCATACCACCATTGTTGAGGTTATTAACAGCCACACAGAAGTCCTGGAGAGGACTTGGATCATAAGCGTTGCCAAAGGGAATGACCAATGCCAAAGTGATAACAGCGAGGATGGACTGAGAAATTTTCATTTTAAGCACAGTTATGCGAATGTGTTTCAAGGTTTTTATTTTGTGTTGTTTATGAAGGATGAGTGCTTACTATTTATAGGGCAAGAGAGTATGTCTTGTTTGACATGGTCAAGGCAATACTATATATTTTGTGTTTCGGATGTTTCAAAGTAGCAGTTCAAATGTTTACCAAGTCTATATTTAATTATATATTATTTTCTTTCAGCAATTTTATGTAGTCTTAATTAACTTAAACGATATGCATGACTTTAATTAACCTAGTAGAAATAGAATAAGCATACTCTTTAAAATTGTGAAGATGAATTGTATTTCTAGGGATAAATCATCGTAGAGAATCGCAATATTGTTCAGAACTTCTCTATCTAGGTAAAAGGTCGATGAAATGTGGTACATAGATCAAGAACGGAAACAGCATAAGTTTATTAAGTTATTAAGTGATGTGACTATAGAGGTTTCAGTTTTCTAAAATATTAATGTTTTATGGGTTGTTATGTTAAACCTTATTTAGAGACTTGGGTAGTTCTTTTCTTGATCCATGAAAAATATATAGTAAAGATTTGATTAGGTATTGACTATCCATAGAGCTTTAATTGGTATGCAGAAAACGGTGTGGCTAAATCAATACAGAAATAGTAGTTAGTGTCAATTGTCAATCTTCAAATTTTAAGCTACTGCAAGAACAACAAAACAACGAACAGAACCAAACATTGTCTCACAAAAACCACAGTTTGACTGTTTGTTTTTTATTGACCACGTAAACCCCCACCCACTCTTTAGAAACAATGGGAAAGACCGAAGCAAAGACTTGTATAAGTGTANCAATACAGAAATAGTAGTTAGTGTCAATTGTCAATCTTCAAATTTTAAGCTACTGCAAGAACAACAAAACAACGAACAGAACCAAACATTGTCTCACAAAAACCACAGTTTGACTGTTTGTTTTTTATTGACCACGTAAACCCCCACCCACTCTTTAGAAACAATGGGAAAGACCGAAGCAAAGACTTGTATAAGTGTAATATTGATACAAGTTTAATTTAGACACAAGCAAAGCAATTGTGCGATAAATGGTAAGGAACGATGAAAGTTTTCCATTGTTTTTTGGAATTTTAGTGTTGTTGGTGCAATTTCTACATTTATAGATGGTGAATCTAGGTTCTCATTAATAATTTAATACCAAAGCACCATATCTAACTATGTGGATAATATCTCTTTCAGTCAAAATGACTGCAAGATCTTCATTTATACTAGCTGCATAACCCCTGCGCAAGCGCGGAGCCGGGATCTGTGTTTTTTTCGGTTGTTGGTTTAGTGGATTATTCTAATAATACCAAATAATGATGAAATTGAAAGAATGTAGCAAGAGTGCAAAGTGAAAAATATTTTATATATAATGTGTTAAATGTTAATTATATGCGAAATAAGTTATAGGAATAACTAAATTATAATATAGTTTTTAGTGTATTAAAATAGATGTCTATTTTTTTTTATGTTGGAAATAGTTTTTATATCGGATGTCAAAACTTGATATAAATATTTATTTATAGTATTTATATTTGTACAACGATTTATCAATTTGAAAATAACTTTAATTTAAGCTAATATTTGTTGTTTGGGTTTCAATAGATAGGTTTGAATATGTTTTTTTGTAAGTTTGGATTCTGTTCATGAATAATGTGGTATTTTTCTTTACGGCGTCATCGACTGTGGAAATCCATCCGCCGGAGTCTGATAAAAATGAAATTATAGTAACTATTAAAAATTGAAGAGAAATTACATAGTTATTTTATAAATAACAAAACTATTTTTTTTTATATTATTTCACATACATAATTTTTTGAAAATATATATTAGGAAATATGTTCTAACTGTAAAAATATATATTAGGACATGATAGTGTCGTGTGAGACTCGTTTTTTTTTCTTTTTTTTTATGTTTGTTTTTTGATCCATTTTTAATTGTTTTTGGGTTTGAGTTCGTCAAACTTTAGGATTTTTCCATTATTTTGGGATTTAAACAATAAGTCTAGAGGAAAAAAACATTAAAAAATTAAAACTACTATTAAGAATTGAAGAGAAATTACATAGATATTTTATAAATAACAAAACTATTTTTTTTTTTTTTATTTCACATACATAATTTTTTGAAAATATATATTAGGAAATATGTTCTAACAGTAAAAATATATATTAGGACATGACAGTGCCGCGTTAGACTTTTTTTTTCTTTTTTTTGATGTTTGTTTTTTGATCCATTTTTAATTGTTTTTGGGTTTGAGTTCGTCAAACTTTAGGATTTTCCACTATTTTGGACTTTAAACAATAAGTCTAGAGGAAAAAAAAACATTAAAAGTAAAAAGCCCATATGATAATAATCCAAACGAAAAAACTAAAATACATAACAGCTGCGTGGTTTGAACCCACACACTTACAGATTTAATTAGATGTCTTATACCACTTTGCTAAAGTGTATTCATTGTTTATAGTCATTTTAGAAAAACTATAAGCTTTTAAAATTTAAATACGTGGAGCCCACGCGGCTGCTGATGTGGATAGCCTTAGGAGCTTCAAAAGTGAGTCATTATTATATAGATTTCACAAGGGATAATCAATGGGAAAATAGCATAAAAAATCCTCAAGTGATATTTGTACTTTTTTTTAACACAAACTTACTTGTACTTAAACTGTGATTTTTTTTCATTAATACTTTTAACCTTTAAAGTGATATTTGTATCAGAGAAACCTCCAAAATAAAAATTTGACCGGTTGTACAGGTAAAACATGATGTGTCAGCTTTTTTTCTTAAAAAATAATAATTTAATTAATAAAATAGAATAAATTAAAAAATTAAATAAAAATGCTGAAAAGTAAAATAAAAATCAGAAAATTTAATAAAAACTCATATTAAATAAACATTCATTTTATTAAAAAAACGTTCAAAAACTAAATACAGATTTATAAAATTAAATAAAACTAAAAAACAATTAAAAATTCAATAAATAAATAAATAAATAAGATTAAATTAAAATACAGAAAAAAACTAAATAAAAATTTAAAAAATTAATAAAATTCAAAAATAAAATATTTTTATTATCAAGTACAAGCTTTTTAAAAAAAAACATATCATTGTATACAACAATTTTAAATATATCACTTATGAGGATGATGGTTTTTCATGTAACCATTAACAATGACGGTTTATTGGCATATTTTCAATGATAGTTTCCGACATCATCGTTGAAAATGGCAAAAAAACTATTTTGAACCTTTTTATATCAAGATAGCACAAATTCATGACAACTCTGCAAACCAAACTGGGAGCTCTGAATCCATGTGTACGACGAATGTCGGTTGTTTTCGTGCACTGCGTGCCAGACTATCCGCTCTTGAGTTTATCCGTTCTTGGTATATAGATAAGCTCGGAGGAGAAGTATTTTGAACTTTTGAATATTGAATTTCTTTTTTTTTTAAAAAAAAAATTATGATATTTTTTAGTTTTTCTGTATTTTAATTTGGTCTTATTAATTTTTTAAAATTTTAGTCATTTTTTAATTTTCCAAATATTTATTTAGTTTTCAGAACTTTAAAAAAGAAAATCCAAATGCATTTTAGTTTTTCAGAATTTTTTTTTCATTTATTTAATTATTTAAATAATTTGTTTTATAAAAACTGACACTTCATCCTTTTCCTATACTATCGGTCAATTTTTTGTTTTGGTGGTTCTTTATGATACAAATGTCACTTTGAAGATTAAAAAGGTTAGTAAAAAAATTTTGAGATTTAAAGTGACATCGTTGAAGAGTATGGATCAATCTTGAAAAAATGTTAGAAACTGTGAGATGTTAAACTTTATCAGCATTTTATGCGGGTAACGCTTGTGCGCTATTTATAATAAGAATTTTGTGCTGAATGACAAGTTTGCTCTACAAGTAAAAGCGAACTGCTGTACATAGGTGGAATAGTCAACATATCCTGCTCTACAAGGAAATATCGCAATACTGTTCATGGATCTATCTTTTGTCTTAATCTTTGATGGACTAGTCTTGGTATCATTTTACTGGCAGAGCACGTTGAATAATATATAAAGAAGCAAAATCCAAGAGAGAAAGAGAATGGTTCTACATATAGTCACAAGAAGCAAAATCCAAGAGAGAAAGAGAATGGTTCTACATATAGTCACAAGAAGCAAAATCCAAGAGAGAAAGAGAGTGGTTCTACATATAGTCACATACTAGGTGTTTTCCTGATGTGCAGAAATAAAGTTTTTAAAAATAAAATAGTGTAATTCTCTCAAATAAATTTCTTAAAGTTTATATCATAAAAAATATATTTCAAAAATTAAAATGATCAGAATAACACTTTTTATTTTAAAAATTTTAAGTTTTTTTTTTATTTTTACAATTTGATATCATATTCTCAAAACCCCACTCCTCAACTCTAAATAAAAAAATCTAGAATTAGTTAACCCAAAGGGTATAACTGTATATTTACTTATTTTTGATTAAATATTTACGTATATTTTGGTCATTTTTATTTTTAAGGTCCATATTTGTGACAAAAAAATTTGTATGTCTCTCCTAGGGAAATTTTATAAAATTATATATAAAATAAATTTAGTTAATTTTTAAATTTTATTTTGATACATTATTAATTTTACATTAATTATATGTAAAATTTAGATAAAATGAACAAATTTTATTTAAATTTATATTTAATAATATATATATATAAATATATATGTATATATTTAAAATTAACATTTTGGAAATATTTTTTTTTATCTTTTTTGGTTAAAATATGTAAAATCCCATTCTATACAATTAAGAAAAAAATTTGGTTAGGTATATAATTGTCAAAATATAAAATCAAATAGCATTTTTAAAATTTATATATGTTATAAATAAAACTAACGGTATTGGAATTAGAATATTATAATTTTAACAAAAACCTGTATAAAAATTTTCAAAAAAATGTTAATACAATTATAAAAGATAGACTTGA